CGTGAAGTAGCCCCTGATTATCTGAACTTATTCTAGAGTGTCATGGCAAGTGGAAAATAAAATACAATAAGTCGAATTGGACGTCGATCGCAGTCCTCATTTTTCTTTGGTGTTTCGTCCAGTGCTCGTTGCACCTGGAATATAAATGAGAGTCTTTAATACCATGAAGACGCTTCGTAAAAGTGGGAATTATGTACATACAAGTGTATCGAAAATAAAGTTTACGCTTATTTTCACTGCTTTTTTTAAAAAGTTTCATTACATGGTAATAAAAAAATTGGCATAAAAAGGCAAAATGTACGAGGAGTTTCGTATTGCTGGTAAATAAGAAACATAATGCCTCGGAAAAAAGTACTGAACTAAAAAAATATATGGTTGACACATCTTATTTCACACCACTAAGTTGAATACGACTTCAATTACTCTGGGAACCTGACGGTCCGACCTGATCGTGTTTTCTGTTGCACCGATGGTTGTTGTAACTGTGCATTACCAGGCACGTCGCCAAGAATTTCGATAATTGAGCTATCCGTCGGTCGGTTGTAGCGAGCTGAAACGTCACTTATAATGGGGTTGCCTTCGAAATAAGCTGGTTTCAAACGGTCGATACTGACAGTATCTTCACGTCCGTTTCGCTCAATTATGTAGAATTTCTCATGTCACTTGATCACTTTGAATGGCCCGTCGTAGGGTGGTTCAAGTGGTCGACGAACGGCGTCGTGGTGAATAAACACGTGTGATGTCTTTTGTAAATTGGGGTGAACGAAGACATCAGTCGTTTGAGGTCTAACCGGAGAAGGCCTAACTGAACGCATTGCGTTAGTAAGCCTAGTCACGTAAGATGCCCTGTCGGAAACATGTTTGAAAGTTGGAGGAGAAACGAATTCACCTGGTGGGCGAAGAGTGGTCCCATAGACGAGTTCTGCAGGGGTACATCCAGCATCAACTTTCAGGGCGTTACGAATACCTAGTAGGACTAGAGGCAGAAACTCGGTTCACTGAGGTATGTTTGCAGCTGAAAGGGAAGCTTTCAGCTGTCGACGGAAACGCTCTACCATGCCATTTGCTTGTGGATGGTAGGCTGTCGTTCGGAACCGGGTGCAACCTTAAAGCGTGAAACAATCCACACCCGAATTGGCGCCCTCGGCTGGTCGTTACGTAGGATGGACATCCAAGTTTCGCGATCCATCTCTTCGCGAAAACACGGGCGACAGTCTCAGCAGTAATATCCTTAATAGGTACTGCTTCTAGCCATCTCGTAAGACGATCTGAGCAGGTGAAAAGGTGAGTACATCCATTAGATTCTGGTAGAGGTCCTACGATACCTATATGGACGTGGTCGAAACACATGTCCGGGGATAGAACAGAACCTAAGGGGCTTTTCGTGTTTCGCGTGACTTTTTCACCTTTGTCAAGCTAAGTATGACTGAGCTCACTCCTCAGGGTTTTCCACTGTGTTAGGTTTAGTTTTCGGTCAACCTCGCGAGTTGCTGCGATGCGCTTAGACGCGTTTCTGTGGAGTTCTACGTGGACTAGGACTTCGAGATCGTAGTAACTGTTTAACAGAGTTGCACAGCTTGGTCATCTCTGAGTCCTGGCTCTCTGGTTTGCCGCGGACAGAATATACGTTGGAGACGGGTCTGCTAGAAATCTCCAGTATTTTATCTGCCGATCAATCTTTCCCTCCACCCTGGTATGTAATTTTTAAGTTTTCACCTTGTGCCATCCTATTGTGGTTTTCTTCACTGGCATACATAGCTATAGCAGAGAATTTTCCTGAATTCCTTATCTCATTAGAATCTAGCAATTTTGCGCTACGTGGGATTTTGTACTCAGATTGCCTAATTTATGCATTGGAGGTAAACAGATCACAGAGCAGCTAGGAGACGAACATAAATATTTGGAACAAGGACATTACTTTGAGGGTTGTAATATTTTATCTATAGCAAACGTAGGTTCGGAGATAGACGTTCTTACGCGGCCAACCAGTATTTCTTCATCATTATCATGGCTTCAGAACACCAAGCCACGACTGAAGTGAGAATCTTACCTAGATCAATCCAAGAGCCAAATGCAAAATTACCCTAGATTACTCTTGTATGGACCGTGCTCCTGCGTCTTCGTGATGCATGTATATTTTGTTCTGCTCTTCACAACTGAATCATGAAGCTACAAATTTTTGTAGCGCTAAACGTTTTTGCTGATATTATGTTACCGGAAGTTGATAGATAGATAACATGCTGAGCTCTCAATTTCTCCCTACATGACATCAGCAAGGCAAACTTCACAAAAGTGTACTAAGGGGTTTGTTCTGTGTGAGTTTCACGTACTCGAGTCGCCCAAAGTCAGAAGGCTATCTCGTTTTTTTGGAATAATAATAAGAACAGGTGGGTCTACGTTTGATGATAAATAACATAAATTGTACACTAACACCTGAAGTCATATAGCAGCAAATAGCACAAGGTATGGTTAGAAAAATCCACGGAACTTCAAGATGTTTGCTATTCGATCCATCCACCAGCCAAACAAAGTAAACGCAATAAAAGCCGTTAAGAGAAAAGTAGGGGAATATATAGTAATTTGAGTAGTTTAATCAACAACACTGAGTAAATATAACATTCTTTAAGTGGTAAAGTAAGTTGTTTTATTGACCTGGAATATGATATCTTCGACGAGCTGTTCATTGACTAAATACATGTCTCATGAATGTGAATGAAGATAACCTAACCTGTTTAACTTACATAGTGCGGCTGAGGACTCAGGATTAAAGGAAGCCAGTTGACCAACGCTGACGAAATCCAAAGTCAGTCAATGTCAACGTGTGGACTGGCACTAATGCGTAACGGTCTTAATTCCCACTTCCCAAATCATCACAATAAGCTAGATGTATCAAGATGAAATGTAGAGAAACAGGATAAAGGTGTAATCAAAAGCCATTGAAAGTCGAAGAAGAGAGGATAAAACAATCACGAAATGTGGTCTGATGACTGAGATAAAGACAATCTGTCGGTCTATCTGAGCCATACCACCAAGTTTCCAACCACTGATTTCAGTCGTTATGTAGATCCTACCCGGGAGTATACGTTTCGCTCCACAGCTCAGATAAGCTGTCAGCGACTGCATGGACTGATGTTATATCTCAGTCTGTTCGCCTTTAATCTTTCCCAGCCGTAAACTAATTCTGTGAACAATGCACTTCGGGGGGAGACGGTGAATAGACATGCTTAACAATTTCTCAACCACCTGGTCCGATGAAGGTGTACGATTTCATCGAGGAAGCCATTAACCACAGTGCACGGGCTTAATTTAAAAGAATGAAAACATAGTCGTACATCCTTTTCGAGGAATAAGTTATATTATCTAATGATTATACTAAAAAATAGATACCCAAGCAACTTTAACAGGAAACTGTTTGTCAGATGTATCAACAACCGCATATTTATCCGCCAAAACCAGTAGGCAAATTGTTCTATTATAAATAAAAAACATCTCACGGACTCAAACAAGGCTACTAAAACCTTTCAAGACTGGCGTAGCTAAAGAACCTGAGAAATATCTTCATTCTACAAGGAGTGACAGATAAGGATGAGTAACTGAGCCCTAATTAAATCGAAGTGCGAACTGGAAGCCCGTGCACGTTAGTACAGTAAGCGAATCTACTGGTTGAACTTCAAATGCTTAGACCAATGAGACAAAGCTCCACATATCAGTAACAAGGTGCAACAACTGCTATAGACAGAATTGAGCGAAGCGGTATCCTCTTTGCAAAAGTCGATAGGTTTTTAAGTCATTACTGTCTTATAACAATCGGTGCGGAAATGAATTAATATATTAAAACTTATAGTTTTGGATACAGGGGACACAGAATTTATAACGGACAGACAATCCCATCAATACGCATGCAGACGCAGACCCCATTTATCAGCTAGTTAGGAGCTGTGGTTATCGGTTTCACTAGTCACCATCCCAGTAATGAGCTACAGTTTCGAGCCTTGCTTCAAGTAGCCCTCACAAACTGCAGCTAGCTATTTGTCTATGGAATAAACCTGTAAGTGGTCACTGGTTGCATCGTATTTTTTAGTCAACCAAGAAAGAAACAACTACGAAATCCCAGACCCGGTCAGCAAGACAGTCAGTCGGAAATAAAAGGAACAAGTGGGATTTTAGAACAAATTTCGAAACAGCAAGACGGAAATCTTCCTTAGTTTTTCCTAAAATATTTTGATTTTATGCAGGTAAACAACTGGAGGTTTATGAATATATGTTTCGAAGAAAAAGAAAGTGGAAAACTATGCGAGTAAAACGCGGACAGCGCGCATGCATTCCTATAAGATTAGATAGGCATATATATATATATATATATATATATATATATATATATATATATATATATATATATATATAGAGAGAGAGAGAGAGAGAGAGAGAGAGAGAGAGAGAGAGAAATCGTGACAATAAGGAAAAAGTATTCGGAAGTTATATTATGACAAAAAACCGCCAAAACGAAATGCGAATTTGGATCTGAAAATACCGTGGGGCATGGTAATGTGTGTATGGGGGGCATAAGTTAACTGCAAAACAACAAAAAAACAATGTTTCCGTACAACATGATTCGCAAAATATCCTTTGTTTCATGCAAAAGCAGACTGGGGACGAGGAGGAAGATGCTGATGATATGAGGAGAATGTCAGATAAATAGACAACAAGAAGAAAACCAATGAGATCATAAAGGGCAAGAATAACAAATAGTTCGATAAAATGTCACTCAGTTCCAAGCTAAAATTAACAATAAGGTGTGATTTTTAAAATAGTATGGTTTGACCTGAAGTGAAGCAAACACACACACAAAACACTCAAAAAGGACTAGAAGTATTTACACACCGGAATAGGAACTACTGAAGTAAGTTTAAAGCAATCATGCATGCATGACTAAGTAAGCACAAAAATGCAAACTGACCGGCAACTGGTACTGTATATCATTATGATATCAAACTGACTGGCTACAACATTACATTGGATCTGTCTGAAATTTTCGATTGAAGTATACACCGTGATGGGGTTGTCTGGCGGAGTAAATAAGCTGTCTGAATTTGTTCAATAACTGATTTTATACACTTCAACCATAAATTAACGTGCTCATTGGTCGATATACAATTTATTGTAGACGAATCACCAGATTCAGTGGTTGTTGTTTTTGGTCCTTTACCGCTTTTCATCACAGCAGATGGATATGAACCTGGCTGAGAGTGAATGAACAAACCTGGAGCTGAAAGACCACGTGCCCGACCAGCACAATTTAATTCCGGTGACAATGACTGACAAGATGATTCAGCAACTCGAGAACATCCATGACGACTTTGTACACCACCGCTACTACGCAGTATCCAACTGAATGCTCCACTAGAACGAGCGGGATCTAGTTTCGATAAAGACTTGGCTGTAGGCTTGTCTGCGCTGAAAACCACAGGTCGAAATCGATAAGTCTTACCAAGAATAAAATCAGTTAGCATAAAGGAGTCCGGATCTAATGTTCCATTACGATGACGACCAGGTTCAACTTTTGCAGCCATAAGAAATAAATTAGAGTTTGGAGGTTTATATCCAATTTTAGAATGAGTATTAGTATAAGCTTGTGATTTTTTCTCGGAATCCGTTAAAAGTTCAGAAACCTCAGCCACATCGACTTCTGATACATCATCAGTTACATGCTGCACTTTTTCATTGTCACCATCTTTGATCCGGTTATTGAAGGTATTCAGTGTAGGAGGGCCAAACAGACAATGGATTTGGCACTGATGAGCTCGAAACTAAATAGACCGAAAAAACAATAACAGTTAGAAGTCAACGGAGGTACCATTGTCATATCGAAATTCAATGACTGATGTCAATATGAGCAGCAAAATTTCCTGATCCCATATCGACATAAGATACTACATAGTGTATAAGATCGAGCGCATTTCAATTCAGTGACCTGAGCAAACTCTGTTGACCAACTTCGCAATGTGGTCCCACTAAGCAAACTGACTTGCTATTGCAGTGAAATGTTTTCACTGGTGAATGAATGGCTTGAGGTGATAGACAGCAAGCTGCAAACCCAGGTTTATTTACTGGTTGGCATAAACTGCGAAATCATAATTAAGAGGTTCTAAAACCTGAAGCCACCTGGGATAGTTGTCAAGCCAAAATTGACAATTTTAATTCCCTTGGCATAAAAAAAGGACGAAACTTAATAACTACACATAGAAGCGAGTATCGGGTTGAGAACTCCAGCAACTGTATACGTGGAATGCCTTGACCACTTCACTTGGGGAGTTGCATCAGCCCAAGAAAGCTGGGTACTGACGAAATCTCAGCTCAGATACAGAAGTCCTGTTTGGTATCCGCTTACTTGTGTCATCTTTAGTGACAACTAGTGAGATATCCGACTATCCATCAAACGACGCGTATACGGCACTGTCGTCTGTTTTGTACCACTGTGAGACATGGCCGTTAGAAGCAGAAGATATGAAGGGGTTACATGGTTTCAGTCACGGATGTCTTCGTAGCATTGATCGCAGTTGGTGGGATCATCGTATGAGCAATGTCGAGGTCAGGCGAACGGTACTAGGCAAGAGGGGTAGGTGGATTGATGAGGTTGTGAACTTAATCGACTGAGATGGCTTGGACATACATTGCACTTGCCGAGTCGCCGCCTACTTCGATGCGCCCTGCTAGTGGATTAAGTTGGAAGAGGGTCTAGCCTAGTCAGACCAAGACCTAGCAAAAGTCCATGAAGTCCCCGACTGTTGATGTGAGCCGTGTAGGGCGACGCAGACTATCCGGCTGGGGTTTGTGAGACGATAGGAATCAGTGGTTGAGGACCCTTGGTGAGATGGCTGAAAATCAGTCCCAGTGATGCAGATTTACTCTTTGGCGTCCTGTAAAGCTTCAATATTTGCACTAACCTTTATCTTCAGATTGTTTATTCTCTCATACAACTTTGTGCACTTTGGTATCACTCTTTTCTATCCACTTTTTCTTTGTATACAACTGTGAAATGTAGTAACTAGAGCTGATGCACTTGTGTGAGAGGTTCTACGTTGACTCTATTTGCCATACGAGGGCTACTGGTACTAACCAGCTTTCCAAACCTTGGGGAAGGTTTTGGCTTACAATCACCCATGAACCACTGACAGAAAGTCGTCTTTTCCTAAACCAATGAGTTTGCAAACATTGAAAATTACGTACTATTTACTAACTAGTCCACGTAAATGGGGCAAACAACATTGAGCTGGTTACGGTTTAAAAAGCTGTGATAGTTTTTATTTATTGAATCACTGAGTAACGTAGATTGTAACACTCGGGAAGTTATTTGCCTACTTGAATTAGCAGATAAGTCATGGAAATGATGTTAAGTCGATACATACCCTTCTTACTGGTCACCTTCATCCATTTATGACTGAAAAAGATATTTGGTGAAAAGTAAAGATTTGATAAAAACGTGTGTCTGTGGCTTACTTGACTTCGGTTCACCGCATTCTTTATTTTCGGTTCAAAATAAATCATGTAAGCAGTGAGCCCATCACCCACAAACACTAAAGTAGCCCATAAACGGCGCCATTTAGAAAATCCAGCTGATCGGTAGGTTGACGAAGGATGGTAAAACATTGACTTTGTGACTGTTGCTGTTGAACTAATAACTGAACAATTTGACAGAGAAGAGTTGGAAGCGTGTACCGGTGGAGCAAATAGAGGGCTGGTTGAACGAGCTGAATCAAAATTCTGATTTGAGTTTGTTAATGGACGGAAACGATAAACGGTTCTGCGCTGAACTACACCTTGGCATACAACTTTAACACCGAAATAGTTAGAGACTAACGGTGAATAAGGAACTCCAGAGTGTTCACTAGCATGTACATCTATAATGGATGAGCTTTGTTTAAATTTCGGTGATTCTGGTGGGGTTGATGTGGCGAGGACTAAGATAAACGTAAAAGATATTGATAAGAGAAATACAAATGAAACTCAAAGATGTTAGAAATGAAGAAAATCTCAGAAGGAATACATTTCCGATTAATACGCTATGGAAACTAATCAGCTTTGACATTTTGCTTAGCAACATGGTATACGAAGTCAGTAATCAAGTGCAAATAAGATATCCTAATACATGATACGTAACTCAGAAATCCGAGACGATTCGACCATTAGACAATGAATCAGACAAGTCGGAATAATGGAAAAGACATGTAGCTCACCAAGAAAACGATGGTGCTCTCTATACCTTCATACATTGTCGTGACCGTTTTATCACCGGTTCGGTGACATCATCAGTATTAACTAATTAGGACAGACAGACAGACAAAGTCAACATAAGACCAGGTTATTGCGTAACGGTTCGAGTAGGCATACTCATATCACAAAACCAAGCGAACATGCATCAAGGAGAAACAAGGAAGCAGTCAACAGTGGTAGAAGTTCACCAAAAGAAAGGGATGGGAGAGTAGAAAAATTCAGTGTGATGATTAAGGTGGGAATAATATGTAGGTACATCTGTGCTACTGAGATTGATTCCAAGCGATACCACGACCCAGAATCCCCAACCACCGGTTTCTATTGTTACGCAAACCCCAATCCGAAAGTCTACATTTCCCTACGCAACTCAGACAAAAACTTCGCAGACTGATGTCATGTTTTAGACCGGCCAATCAAAATATTATAAAGACAAGGACAAGACTTTAGCAGAAACAACTAATAACACACAAGGAGAACAGGAAAAGTTACTAAGCAACTTGTAGAGAAAACCCTTATAATTCACTTTTTTCTGAAGTTTGTGCTGTTGTTGTTAACGCTGACAATGAAAACCTCACGATTAAACCACCCAGCTCAGAGAACACAACATCAAAATTATTCTCTTGAGCTCAAATATTCTTCATCATCTCAAAACTGGCCATCTCTAGCTGTTTTTTATACCCTGAACCTACTTCAACTAACACTGCGCCATGAAGCAGGTGGCGACTAGGCATGCGTAACACATGTTCCAGCAACCTCAGTCGATGAACGTTCACAATCTCATTGACCGACTTTCCTCTACTCCCTAAACTCTACACCTGACCTCGATCCCACTGACACTACAACACAGGTTATGCAACGAAGGCAAGTGGTCAAACACCTTAAGCCTTCTCATCCCCTCTACCTTTAATGACTGTGCTTTACAGGCATAAATTAAAACAGAGTGAACTGCAGCGCAGTATACTCCACCCTTAACGGGTAATCAGGTAGCGTGATGCCACCAACAAATAGTGTGAGTTAGTGAAAGTCAAGCGGGTTTCTTGTATCGCCTGTCACTGACCCGAAGGGCTGATGGGACTTCCGATCTGGGTGAAGTGGTCAATATGTTTAACTAGCTTCACACTCCATTGTTAGACAAGGCACCACTGAAGACTGGTTTTGAAGCAACAATTTGCATTCGCGAGGCGTGAAACGCATCCTAAACATTCTCAAATAGCCACACTCACGGTGTCCACTAGAGTTTTCATCTTGTCACGGTCTTAATCTAACACTATTTCATCTGGATACCATAGATCTATGAATGAGTCTCCTGTGGTAAGAACAATCCCTATAAAGTCAGATGACGAAATGAAGACCTACATAATTACATCTGTGATAAAGTTGATCAAGAATGAATAGAGTGGATATCGTTGACACACCAATAGACTTACACATTACATCTGATTCTCCCACATGTTCACAGGTGTTCGAGTCCAGTGCTTTCAACAGAATGATGTACCTACTCTGCACTCCTTTCCATGAGACATTGTAATACGACCTGTCGATCGACGGCGTTGAACGTCGCCTTCAGGTCAAAGAGTACAGCCAGTTTTTGGCATCGCTATGTATGCTTGTGTTGCAACATATGGAGAAGGGTGAATATCTGATCGACACACTCACAACCAGGTCTGAAGGTCGCCTTATTTCTTCAGGTTTGTTGGCTACGCGCTTTACTCATATGTCTCATAACTGTGGAACTCACAATCTTAGGCCCTGTGTTCGCCAGACTGATATCCTGGTGGTTTTGAGGAGAGGATTTCGCACTTTTCTAGAAGACAATCAATGTCCAAAAGCAGTCGGAGAGGATGATATTCCACTCCCATACACTAGCTGTCGCTTTATTTATCTGAGGTTTAACTTCAAGCTTCGATTCTGCTTCAATTTCTAGGTAGGTCTTCAGATTTAGGGATGTTTCTTCACAAAGTTGATGGATCGATCTGCTCGCCGAGCAGAAAATATCCAAGCAACGCATTCATATGAAAACGAGCACTCTTGTCCTTTAAGCGTACTCAACTCTTCGTGGACAGATATACGCGGGACGCCTCTCACCTAGGTCTCCAAAATATTGCAGACCTAAGGTGCACCTCACCCATCCGAAAAGAAATTACCCGAGGAAGTCTGGCCTGTGAACCCATAATGCCTGCAGATTCAGAGCACTGACTTTTTTCGGGTTACTCAAATACAACAAAGGCTAGGGCTAACAATACCGACCTCCCGAACTGAATATCGGTCGTCTTGGCAAGGTAAATCTACATCCGTCTCTGGGGATCGCTTCAACATGAGTGACCATTGGAGTTGGGAAGCTGGATTCACCTTACCCTTTGCTTGCACTGCTCCCAGCGCCCTTGGTGAAATTGTGACGGCTATCAGAACTGTTTGAGTTTCGGAGGCCTATAGCACTGATCTTACTACATATGGGTCTTGTCAACCGCAGTCTTCGCTAAGTCGATTTGACGGTGTATTAGTTTAAATCGAGCAGGGTAGTGAGAAGACTCACTATCGTACGCAACTACGCTAGACCCGTAACCTTCGGGGCATAAAACATCTCCAGTTTTCACGAGCCAGCAACATAAACCCAGCACCACTTAATCGAACCGTGTAGTTTTCTCGCTGTGACCATGGAGCGGATCTGTGCTACCTGGGGAGTGATAGTTACTCCCGCTAACACGTCAGTTAACTCGACTAGTGTCCTCTAGCATCTTTAAATGCCTCTGGTACTAGTCTGTCTGTACATGCTGTGCTTACCTGTTTCAAATCACTAACAGTCTCCTCTACTGCTGTGTTAAGTTTTAAGGGTTATTTTTAATGTTGCCTTCTGGTTAGTGGTCAGCGGCCAGTTGAACAGCTCCTCAAAGTGTTCTACCCATCGTTACAGTCACCTATCTTGCAAGTTAACCACAGACACATCCTGTTCCACTATAGTTCCACTAACCACTGGATTTTTCGTCCCAGTTCCCATGATAGGTTTAAACAGCCAATCCCTTTCCGATCTATCTCTTCAACATTCGCCAACCACAACCTTTCGTCTCTCTTAAAATTTCATTTTCGTCCGCTCCTAGTTGTTCTCACAGCCTGCAGGGATGTGTTCGCATGCATGGATAAACTGAGAAAGAGATGCTGGGATCCACGGGCACTTTGTAACTGCTTTCTCATAGTCGACAAGGCTTCCCCTGGATGAGTGATGTCCTTCTGTCTCAATGACTGTTTAGCCAGTTGCTGGTGGAGACCACCTTTACTAGTTTCATTGTTGAGCTGCACTCAAAATGGTCCTTTTGCGATTGTTTCCTACGTCAGTCTAGGCACAAACAATCATGTGCTCGAACCAACACTTGATAACTGGCAGAGCATATGCTTCAGACGGGGCTGAAACCTCCTGCCGACATTCTCTGGAGATAATTGACAACAATACGGTCTGTTTGCGTCCACCGCTGAGTTGCGTTCGGTTGACACCAGGTCAAATGATGCCTCTTTATGTCTGGAGTTTGTGTTGTCCTGAAATAGATGGTTGTCTGAAAACAGTTGCAGTAGCCAATAGCAATTATTTGTTCGTCCAGCTAGGATCATGAAAGCACCATCTAAGTCCTTGTCTGCTTGATCTTAGTCCACTCATTGAAACCGTCTGCTGCATACGAACACGTCTGAACATTTACCTCGCGGTAGAAGATTAGGCAGTTTTCGGCAGAACTCGTTCGAACTACAATCAGTGAATGCATGAGCGGAGAATACAAAGAAACAACGGCGTTTCACTATCCTTTAATCCCAGACTTTGGAGTTCAGTCGGACAGCTTATTGGCCGATCTAACGGAGGGTGCGGACACTGAAAGTATCAATGTGTAGTTTGACGCACAGTTTCGGAAGATTAGTGATGCTGTTCCATGAACTCGTATCGTTATCAAGAGCTTCAGGGTTAGGATAAATATGAGATGTAGGGATACTGACCGAGAGGAGTGAAGGAGAATTATAAGTTAAGGACGTGGAATGTGGATATTGATCTGAGGGTTGTGATACCGGTTGACACTTCGGCTTCCTACACCGTGGAAGGCTTCGTACGTGACTGGAAAGCCCAAGGGTGATCTGATTGAGGTTGGTCACACACAACCTAATTAGGAGTTTGACAGTTCCGTTTGTTTTATTCAAATCTTACTATGAATCCATTCCGCTGGCACCACTATGCCGTTGGGCAGAGAAGAATGTAGTTGACCTCTTTGCATAGAGAAGGTATCGACTGTGACTATGCTGGTCAACTGCGGCCCATACCTTACTGCTGTTACACCACTGTCTAGCCAGCAATACGACTTTGCCCTGGGACTCCCATAATAGCGTAAAGACCTACACTATGACGGTTACTGCTCTTTGTCTTGCCACTATCCAACTAACCTTTCTGGCATAGTAGGACCTAGAGGGAATACAAGTTTCCCAGCCTTTGTAGCTCTTTGGATCATTGTGATATGCAAGGGTGACCACAACGTCAAGGTAGTAGCGGTCGGGTGGGATAACTTTACAAGGAAGATGTTAGTGGTGAGGATATCACTAAACCTGGTGATGAAGTCCGGTTATTGGTATAAGAGGTGTGGGGAGATGTGGACTGGCTCTCTAGTCATCAAGATGATAAAGAACAATGGCTAGAAACTGATGGTAACAACGTTTAAAA